TGGTTGCCATTTGGTTTCAGTAGGAAAGCAGCTGGAAGGTAGTTAATATTGACTGGTTTTTCTGCAGTAACTTCTCATTTCACAGTTTCTGAGCACAAAATCAAGCCATTCCACAAAATAAAAGATCTGATGATGAAACCCATTTAAAACAACCTTCTGTCTGTTGAAGCAATTGTTGAAGTTAATTAAAATAAAGCACCCAACTTCTGACAGAACAAGCTGGTGGCCTCTTAGATTTTGGTCCTAGCATGTGCAAGGAGCAGATCCCAGAGTCTGGCTCTGCTGCTTGGATGCAGCAGTCAGTCTCTCACACCAACATGAGGCATAAAGCACCAGGCTTGATGCTCTTATAATGGGATTTAACATGAAAGGAAAGCTCTCAGGTACCTCTGGTTGCTATGAAACCATTGACATTTTCTGTTGGAAAGTAATTTCTCCTTAGTATAGTACTAAATTAGAAAGCAAGTAAATGGTGTGTGTGCAATATTGAGGACTCTAATTGCTTTTGAATGGAAGGTAACACCACCTGAGCAGACCAAAAAGCTTAATGTTGCATCTCCCATAGTCCAAGAGCAGCAGTGACTTTGAGATGGCCACTCTGGGGCAGGAGATGCTGTGCAGTAGAGCTGCCTACCTGACATCCACATCCTTTTCCACCAGATGAGAATCTGGCCCAGAAATTATTAAGCACCTTCCTGTGAATTATGCAGTAGTCAAACAAAGATTTCAATAAATTCCCAAGCACCCAGCTAGGGGAGATTGGGAGGTTTCTCAGAAATATGATTAAGGAAGGCTGGAAAAATAAAGGTGAAGGTTGGAAAAATAAAGGTGAAGGTTGGAAAAATAAAGGTGAAGGTTGTAAAAATAAAGGTGAAGGTTGTAAAAATAAAGGTGAAGGTTGGGAAAGGCCTTTAGGATCATCGAGCCCAGTCACTAACCCAGCACTGCTGGGTTCACCACTAAGCCAAGCCCCAGCAGGAAACGAGCAGGCTGACAGGTAAACAGGAGCATGAAGCTGAGCAGAGTCTTTGGGTCAGACAGGCCTCCTTCTAGGAGAAGCCAAGGAAACCTCATTCCAAGATCACCCCAAAATTAATACCATCAGCACAAAAATGGCCTTCAAAAAGAGTCTGGAGAGTCCAGCACCAGTGCAAGCCTAATAAAAACAGTTCATTTTCACATTTTTCTGGAATAGGCTAAAAGCTTCCATAACAATCAGCAGCTCAGGTCACAGACCTCAGTGTAAGAATGATCCTTTCCCCAAATTAGTTATTGGCTGCCTGGGTCTCAGAGCAAAATCAAGTTGTAAAGGTAATCAGGATAAACAAATAGATACCAAGATTTCCTTGAGCAACAGGGCAGCAAGATGTGTTTGGACATTAAGAACTACGCAGCTGAAGAATATTATTGGGTCATAAATATAACAGGACAGCATGATTTTGGAAGTTTTCTTGTGTTTATATGAATAATAATATAGAATGTTCTTTTGTATTTCTTTCCTTTGTGCATTGAATTTGGTGTGTATTACCTCCACATGAATAATGCAATCTAGCAAAATTGATGGCACAGTTCTTTTGTTAAAGCAGTTATGAAATGAGAAAACAAAACCTACAAGGAAAAGTTATGAAAAAAACAACATTTCTCCAGGAATAAAAAGATGAAGTTGCCTGACCGTTTACATTTGTCTCCTGTGTCATGAATATTAGATCGGATTCTTTTTATTAATCCATTGATAGTTCCGTAAGGCAGCTCATTTTTGATAAACTCTGTCAGGGCTGCTGTAAATACAAAAAAGATTTATGAATTAATTTTCATACGTAAATGACAAAATCTTTTGATACATTTGAAATATGTGCCTTGCAGTGAAAATAGATATATGTGCATGCATAGATATGTATTAATTTAACATTCAGATCAGCTTGTTCTTTTAGAACACAGCTTAATGTCAACTCTGTTTTTCTGGGGGAAAAAAAGTAAACTAAAAAGGTAATTGACATTGAGGGCATACTAAAAGTGAAAGAGATGGACAATCTGTGATCTGGGAATTGTGCTGGACTAAAGGTGTAGTGGGTTTTATTTCAAAAGCATTTTTGATTTCAAGTATCAAAGGGTTGTGCAGCCAGTATGCTGTAAAAACACAGATATCTACAGCTCATTACTATTTTTATTTGAATTGTCTTTATAGATACAAGGCCCTGTCATGAACCTATCAGGCTAAAAATAGCACAAAAAGCATAAGCTCTAAATCAGTCTGCAATTGAAGTGTACATGTAATTCACCACAGCCCTGAAGAGCTGCATAAAGCCAGAGGTGCATCTCAGCTCCCAGTTTCTGTCAGCAGTAAATCCCTGAGCTGGTTCAGCCCCTCCATTTCCATCCTTTGCCAGTGAGACTGGGATTGTGATGGCACTGCCAGCACATGCTGAGAGGGCAAAGAGCTGAAATCAAATTTTCCTTCATTTCCCGAGTACCACAGCAGTGACTGGGGCACCAGGACATCCGTGCTGACACTCCAAAAGTGTGGCATCCTCCTCCTCCTCTGCTCAGAGGAAACTCAGAGCCATTCTTTAGATTCTACAGATAGGAAGGCCAAGGTACAAAAGCATGGAGTGACTTGCTCCAAAAGGATGGATGTCTTGTCTTTTCATGGATCATTAGCTAATATAATATTACACAAGCTTGCACAGGCCCTTGAAATGAACATTTTTAGGTTCTGTAAGTGAAAGACAGAATTAAGCTGCTCATTGCTAGACAAAAAATGAGGCAGGGATGATACCCATGAGGTTCAGGGATGATACCCATGAGGTTCAGTTCTGGATCACCTTTTCTTCTAATCACTGTACCTGTCTGGCACTTTGCTGTGTGCTCAGTTTATGGTGTGCTATTTGTCTAAACTCCCTGAAGCAGAGGCTTTTAATTGTGGTACCATCCACAGGCACTACTGATTAATTCATAAGAATCACAGATTAAAAAATATGCAATATCCCATGAGAAGAAATAAAACAGATTGAACTTTATAACCTGCTGTGTGCCTCATCCTCATTGTCTGGGACTGGAATAACTTTCAAAAGCACAGAGATCAATTTAGCCACCCTTCCTGGTGTGTGTGTAGTGTGTCCTCACATTCTCTACACCAGGGCATATTTTGTGCTGTGAATTATTCTGTTCTGACATTGTTTTGACTTAGTTTTAACACACCTATAACCTGTGGCTTGGTGTAGGGGGTCAGGCCAGAAGCCAGCAGGGGAATGGGATTTGTAATTCTAAAGGATTTTGTTCCATCATATGAAATTGCTTCACAGTGCTCCTGCTTAGCAGCCTGCAGTTATGTACTAGAAAGCCAAGGAATACCTGAGAGTGATGTGAACCAGCCTGGTCTGCACTAAATCTGGGCTTACACTTGTAGTGTAACTGCATTGTTTTAACAGAAGATCAGAAATACTGCTGCACATGAAGAGAAAGTAACAGATACACTTAATGAAAACACTTAAATAAGAAAGTCAACACAAAAACGGTCAGATGAGGTAAACATTTTGGCATTCAAATAAAAAGTTTAGATATACTAATTAAAACGTTCTTTTCTACATGTACTGTATATTTCATATCAGCTGTGTCCTGAAGCCAGACTACAAGTCTATCAATAAAGGCATTTGTCATGTGTTTACAAAATACACTCTCCAAGCTTATTTGGATTACATGAATCCTTTTAAGGTTATACAGAAATGTGGTGTCTGTAGGCAGACATGTTGACAGTCCATGTCCAGGAGCATTAAAAATAAATAAGCAAGGGAAAAGATAAATACAGAGAAGGATTTTGTATGTCCAAGGTAATGCAGCACGTCAGGGAGCTGATCTGTCCTCCACCAGCTTACAGAATGAACCATATATTATTTCTTAGTACTAACAGAGACAAGTATTTCATTATGACTCTTCATTATAGTCTCAGAGAGACTTTGCCAACGGTGCAAGTTGAAATATATTGCCTTAAATTCCTTCAGTTGTAAAGCATGCTTATTGACACTATATTTCTTCTGTTTATTTACCTCATTACTCACTTATGTTACTCTTCTCATGTTAGTCTGACTTATATTGATAATTTAACTGTAAAATTGTAAAAGCCATTCATGTCAGGACCTGTTCTTGTAGTTGGTTGCAAAAACTGAATAAAAAACTCTTAGTTCAAACCAATATATTCCATCATGGAAAAGACATAAAAAGCTTGTAGGGTGTATATTGGCTGAATTGCCAGCCAAGATGCTGGGGTTTGCAAAGTCCTAACCTCTTTAAACAGAAATTAATAAGGAAAAGAAATACATATGTACAATAAGAAGTGAAATAGACATTGATAAATATTATTTCGTGTTATCAGAAAAAAATTACAGTTTTATGAGAGAAAAAAGTAAAAAATAGGAAAGCTATAAGAAATTAAAAACAATTTGAATAAACCTTATTTCCTTATTTTCCTAGCATTCAAATATTTCTGTTTGAAATAAAGCTGACCAAGAAACCAGGCATATATTCTGTTGACATCAATAAAACTACTTGGGTTTATGATGGTTTGGTTCATGTCAGAATAACACGGCCCACCATCAACTTCAGCAGGGCTCCAACAATCTATTTCCCAGGTGACTAAATCCAACATGTGCAATACCCTTAGGACATTGTATTACCTGCAAGCAGTGTCTGAGAGATGGAAGAGGTAAAAGCAAAATCCTAAAGAGGTTTGAGCAGGGTGGGCTTTCCCTATACCTCACTTAAGGAAGCAGTTTAATTCTCTTTCCCCACAGCATTAAGGAATACACAAAAAAGCACATGGGTGAATTAGAAAATACATCTCTCCTGCAGTTCACAATGTTATTTGGCTGCTCAAGGAGCTCTAAAAGGAGCACATAGGTAGAAGGGGCTGGGAGAGCTGGAATATTTCTATTAACTTATTAACTCACCGCCCCCCAGGCCTTGTTCATCATGGTGCCTATCAAAGTGTCAGTCTTTTCTATTACCTTCCCCTTCAGAAGATGTCTGTCTATCATTGTCATGCTCTTCCAGCAGGATTATCCATCATTTTGGGTGAAGCCAAAACATTCATTTTCATGGCTGTCGCTGCTAGCGAGCTGGGATGGGGGAAAAAAAAAAGTGTTTTATTCAACAAAAGATAAATGATGGAATTTCACTCTTAATCACTTTCTTTTATTACTTAATACAAAAGGTTGGGAGGAGGCTCTGCAGTTTATTATACCACCAGTCAGAGGCACCATTATATTTCAGGGTGTAGCAATACGTCCTGCTTTCCAGCAGCTTATAAAACCAGCCATAAACATTAACTCCAGGCAAGAGTTTGTCACACGGCTCTTGATTCAGAGCAGTGGTTGACTCCTGTGGTTAGCACTGGGATATCCCTTCCAGGGCTTGTTTGAATTAGGCTGAGAGACTGGAAATCACCATGGGTTGGGGTGATGAGCTGCAGCATTGTGCTGCTGGACCAAGGGTGCCTTGCTGGGGATTTCACCACTGCCAGCTCTGCCTGGATGTCAGGCTCAGAGCTCCTTGATCTAGGTTATTATGATTTCAATTATGTCTGGCTTTCTTATTGACAAAAATTTTTAAAATTAAATGCTTAAAGCAAAATAATAATGTTGTTTAGCCCCATCAGCGGCAGCCATTAAACACGATGGACAGAATAAGACAAGGTGAACCTTTGAGAAGTTTGGATATAATTTGTGTTCACTGTTCCTTGTCCTAACACACTTTTCATTATGCACATAGGAACTCAAGTTATCAGAAGAATTTATACTGAAATATGTAGATATTTCAGAAAATGTATTAAATAAGGCAAACAGCTCAAGTTGCACCCTATTCCATATTAATGTCCTGCAAAAGTCAGTCTCAAATCTTGGTAATGTACAAATTAAGGGATTCGTGTAAAGCAAAATTATGAGTGTATGTTTTTGGCTTACTCCATGTTGAGTAAGTCCTCATCAGTTCTTTATATTTTATGTGCATCTTAATACTGACTCTCCAATCACAGGAAACTAAGATCCCATTGCCCCTATTCCTTCACAAATAACCACTAAGTTTACATATTCCGTTTCCTACTCTGCCTTGGTTGCCTATTATTATTATTATTATAAATTTTAGAAACTCAGTGCCTCTGAGATAACTTCTGCCATTTCAGATTTGGTGAAAACTGGTTGCACATTCAGAATTTATTAGACATTGGTAGGCTAAAAGAAAACCAAACCAGTCATGGGCAAAATACTTGGAGTGGTAATTGTAGTTGCTGTAATTATGGGAAACATAAAATATTATATAAAGGAAGAAAGCATCAGAGAATTGTGACACAGGAGAAACTCCTAAGCTCAGTCGTGTGAATGCCTGGCAGCTGGGTACCCTAGTCCTGGTGAATTTCTTCTACCATATTCTGACTGAAAGACTAATGAAATAAATGGAGAATCATCTTTTCACTCCACTAGGATTTGGACTGGGGAAGAGAAAGAGATACTGGATAAGCCCACATGGTGTCTGGTGCAAACTCCTCATGTTCCCAGCCAGCTGGGCACAGGAGAGCTCCAGAGCTGAGCCCCCTTAGCAGGGCACAGAGCCTGAGCTCACAAAGCCAGTGGAAAGGCAGAGTGAATTATCTTGAACCCAAAACAGCTCTGCTGCAGCCACAAGGCTCCTGGCCAGCTCGGCACTTCAACAAACAAACATCACATCTGCCTGCTGGAGTGCTCCAACATCTGCCTGAAAAATCCCACGTAAACAAACCCATCCCTGTGCAGAGTTATAGTCATGGAACATCCCTCACCATTCAAATGTGACTGCAATGCAAAAGCCCCTAAATATTTGTACAGAACTAGAGCTCAAGAAATAATTACTTGACTAAATCTTGATAGTCTGGAGATGATGTCTCATTGCTCTGCAAAGTCAATTGCTCAAGTACTACTAAAGACAACACTTGAGAAACATTGAGTGTCTTCTCATAATCACAATCCCAAGAGCTGCATTTGTCAGTGCTGTCCATAAGTGGTTCCAGGATAATTGTGCTAACCTAATAAAACCATATGTCAAATCCCATAGAACACTTGAAAATCAACTAGCACTCTTAAAAATGCAAAATTTGTGTTTTTTAAAATTAAAACTTGTACTTTTTACCTTCTCAGACTCCCTTCTCTCCCCAAAAATGTGTATATTCAATATGATAGATGTTCATTCTGTGGCATCATCAAAGGATCTGTAAAGGTTCCCATTATGAAGGTGCTGATTATACAGCCTGTGATCTCAGCATCCTGGTCCTTTCACCTTCCTCTCACTGGAGAGAATTCTCCTACAGATATCCACAGGTACCTGAAGGGATTCATCTTATGCTTTTGAACCCTATGAGCACCATAAATCTCCTGCAGTGCAGTGTATTTCCTGTGAGGAAAACAACTACATACTCTATTTCCTAACTACATTTTTTAAATAGATTCTGAAAACATTTGGAATGCTTCCTTTGATTCTTTCAAAATTCCTGTTTTCCTTACTTCTGTTTCAGCAATAGCACCCAGTACATAGATCTCAGTAATCACAGTAAAACAAAATAAAAAACTCACCAAAATTACTATCCAGTTTTGATACTATCAAGGACAATAAATCAAAATTCTGCAGGAGTTAGGGTGGATACACCTCCATTGACTCATCAGGTTAACCATACTCCTGACAAGCAGAACAAAGTGAAAATTCACCTAAATTCTCCAAAATCATTCCCAATCCTGCCTAAAAATCATAATAACCATCTCCAGCTTCAGGCTGACAATCCCAGACACAGAATTCTACCAGAAAAAAATAGGATCTGGTCTGATTTTTTAGTTAATATAGTAACAACATTCATAAGGGTAGTAGTTTGCACCCACTGATATGCAGGAAGAGTGGAAAGAGTGTGGGATAAATGCTGGGTGAAGTGTTGGTATCTGTACCATCCTGGTCATGTGCAGTCTGACCCAGTGCTGTGCATGGGATTTTCCCCCATTCTGGTTCTGCACTCCCAGATCTACCCACCCTACACACACATCGCGTGCAAAAAAAAAAAAAAAAAAAAAGCCATTTTGCTCTCGACCTTTAGCCTCACATAAAAAAAAAAAAAGAGATACAGCAGGTTTTCTAGGAATCTAATTTTCTTGCCATTTAACTAATTGACATTGGACTGTAACTGGGATAAATGTCAGGAAATTTCCACCAAAACTTTTCATATCATCTGTTCAGTTCTCTTTAAAATGTAGGGGGGGGGAAAGATCTCAAGGAAAGCTGCCTTGGGTCAGGGGTAGGTATGTATTTGGAGAACACCAAGGACTCACATTTGGAGGACACCAAGGATACCTTGCAGAGCTATGATCCTACAGCACCTTGAGAAAATCAACTGCTCATCAAAAAAGAATTCCCATCTGCAGCCACAGCAAAACAGGAAAGTGTTACACTTCGATTTACCAGACACATCCCACACATATGAAGATCACAGATGGTAAAGTTTCAATCAAATATAGGTGTTCTGGGTATTTGCTGCTACAGAGTAAATAAAAATCATATTAAAGTAGACAAAAGAAGCTGACAAGAAAAGTATTAAACTTAAGCAAACCCAGCAGTGATGATAGAATTGGATGTAGATTCTGAATATCTGGATTAATTCAGTGGTTCCTATAACCCAGGGAAAAAAAAGGCAATTCATAAATAGCTTCAAAAGACACTATTTCTATAAAGAAAACTCATGGATTTTAAACTGCAGCTCATAAAAACAAGGGACTATAGTAATTTACTCAGCTTTTGAAACTGCTGGATAGAATGAGAGCAGGGATGGGTATGGCCAGAAGGGTCTAATTTAAATAATATTTAAAATAAATCAAGATTTATTTCCCATAAGTAGAAGAGATGCCTTTTCCTTGTGATGTCTCTTATTCTAAATGCCAATTCAGTCAAGTTCATGAAAAGCAGGCAGCTGAACTAGCAAACTTTTTCTTTAGTTATGAGTATAAATTCAGTTGTTCACTGTCAGAAATTTAATTACAATAAGAGACACTGAACATCAGTGGAACATCATTTCTATTTGCCATTCTAAACAGATACAATAAGGGAAGCAGAATCTTCATTTTTCAAATATGCTTGAAACGGAGTTTGCCCCTGCTCAAAAAGCAGAGAGACTTGATCCCCTCTCTCATCACCTCCCTCAAAAGGGTTAGGGTGAAAAAATGAAAATCAGATGAAACTCTGAGCCATAAGCCTTATCTCATATAGGCTGTATAGGTGATGTGGGGCCATGCATATGGCACTTTGTAGGGTCTGACAAAACACAGCAGCCTCTGGAGGAACTGATGTCCCCATGGACGGGGCTCTGAGTGGGAGAAGGGAATTTTCTTTTCTCCTGCCTTTCATTTTCCAGCTGAGAAGCTGCGACTGGGACACAACATCAGCACAAGCAAACGTGTAGTGTTTATGCAGATGAGAGCAGCAGCTAGTGAACAGGCTGTGAGGGGTTTATGAGAGCACAATTAGAACAATTAAACGCCTGATGTGACACGCAGGATGCGGGACCTGCACACGCCTGAGCTCCCCCTCTGACAAACTGCCCAGCTCTGAGCAGTGCCAGAGCTCGACCCACTCCAGCTGATAATGGGGGCTGGGAAAATGTGCCCCAGGGAGTCACCTCCTGAGCAGCCTGGGAAAAACCTCCATCAAAATTAAGGGAATGGGAGGGATCTCTGCATGAATTTTGTTCCTCCAAAGCAAATTAGAGCTCTCACTCCCTGCCTTCAAGGGAGTTTTGCTCTTCTGTTTCAAAGTTCCTTTGAGTTAGACTCAATAGTGGAGTTCTTTGAAGAAGGCTCTAAAACACTGTCCTTTATAACTGAAAATATAAAGCCGTATATTAAATTATTTTCAGCAAAAATCTCAGCTTAGCATGTTTTTTTTTCCTTCTTACCACAGTATTCAACTTTCCTGTCAATAGTATCTGGTTTTATTTCTTTTAGTTGGCTCTAAACTATTTTATTTCTGTGGTGTTTCTATATTGTAGGCCTAGTCATATTTTACTGTCATACATTTTTACTACATCGCATAATACTCTACAAAATCAT